TTCCCTCCGCATTTAGAATCAACGTCACGCGTTTAGAGTATTTGGCTGCTATACATGTCCACACGATAAGCCACTTCATTGAGCTATCATTTTTGATAGCCAATGTCGCTTCTGATTTAAAATAAAAAAAGCTCTATAGCTCAGTGAGCCTTACCTGGTAAAATAAAAATTAGTTTTAGTTCGACTACGTACGGTGCGAAATAAGTTCAACATACATAGATAATAATACCACTTTAATAACAGCGTGGAAATAATGTGCACGGCGAGTTGGGTTCAGACAAACTAAGTGAGTCGGTACACACTGCTGATGCTGCTGCGTTGGCAGTGGCAGAGTGAACAACACAAACTCAACACGTTGCGTAGTCAACAATGCGTGGCCTCAAAACAAGTATATATTATAGGCGACGTTTCCGCCACTGATCCTTCTTCGCGATATCTTCATACAAAGGCATTCCTGTATAAGCGAGGGCATTATGTTTATTGTAAAGTATAGCCTATGGCCCCTCTTCACGGCATGATAAAGGGACATTGTCCAAAAACGTTGCCTATTATATGTTTTAAGGGCGGTGATTTTTTTTTATTCGATGAAAGTAAATGACTGTTAACAAATACATACTCTAACATGTTGTGCCGTGATCGACTCAGTATGCCTCATCCTGCTGATGTTCCAAACCACCCTACGTGCTGGCCAACGGAAAACATATAAATAAAAAAATGGAAGTTTAAACAAATACATTTCACGTCGAAAAACCCCGAGAAATTTTCAACATAGATCCAGAGGAATCTGACACCTCCCCCCCCATCCATACTCACAGATCCCTGGCTCCCCGTGTCTCCTCCATAGCTCCTGAAGCACCTCGCTGTTCTCGCTAAGGAGCATAAACCACCATCGTGCAAACTCCGGTCATCCTCGCAGCAGCGGCTGCAACGCTCTTCCTTCCGATATTAGGAAGCCACTGGACCTATGCAATTTTAAATAATCTAGATCGAAAAACGAATTTCTTTAGAACTTATTTTTTGGGGGTTTTAGTTTGTTGTCCTTCCCACGCACCTCCGATTAGCAGGGTTGGCTACATACGGTGCGAAATAAGTTCAACATACATACGTACACATACACCTGCGTTCGAATCGGGGGCCACGGCTAACATCAGTGGCGAGTGATAGATATCTATCTGAACCGGTCCTCTACTGTCCTCCTTCCCCCTCCACCTTAACCAACCCGCAATGACCAGCGAGGTGAAGTATGGTCAAACATCCGCCCCCCCCCTTCCCTCCCCCAACCTAGCCAATGACCAACAGCATCCAGCAGTGAATGTACGAAGTGGCTATGCGAAATTAATTCATGTTATTATCGGCATTATATAAACACATAAGTTCAACGTACGTACGTGCAAGGGAGCAAAAGCGATGTTCTCAGTGGAGATGAAGCGACGTGAGTGGTGAGCTCCGAGTGGTCTGAGAAGCCCCCCCGTCCTGGGACACCGACGCTGCTGATGATTACGATGACGACGGTGACAGGCGCTGGGAGTGCAGAACTTCAACTTCTTCTTTCTCGGCCCACCGTGCAAGGGGAAATCATTCGGCTGCACGGAGGCGAAACTCTCGGGTGTCAACAACACACGGGGAGCGCTCACTCCGTCGCTCGTGTTGTTACCCGTGAGTTGTGCGGGCAGTGCCCGCGGCTGTGGGAGGAAGTCGGCGTGCCCACCGTCGCCCGCCTGACGTTGGGCGCAGAGGCATGGGAAGACGCGTTTGCTCACGGCCTCCGAAATGCAATGTTGTTGTCGCTATGATTTGCCTCTCTCAATAAAAAATAAAATGTTCGACACATTTGCCCATAGCGTTGCCATGAAAAGGAGATGTACATCATAGACGACGTTTTGGGCAATCGCCTTTTCTAGAAGACGTATGCGAAAGACAAGGGCAGTATGTGCATGCTATGAAGCACGGACATGCTGTGACGGTGGGCCGTTGCCCGAAACGTCGCCTATTTTGTTTCCTTTTAGGGCCATATAGTTATGGGCGAATGTGTTAAATGTGCTTTTGCTCCGCTACGAACGCGGCAACAGCACCACACATCCTATTAATATTATTGTTTTCGTGGGGTATCTGTAAATTGTTGGCCGGGTAAACTTAACATGTACCGTATCATCCGGATTATTAGACGCTTTGGAAAGTAAGACGCAGCCCAAACTTGTGTCCGGTGTCAATAAAAATAATGCAAACCTGGTCTCCCTTAATCACAACAACAACAACAACAGCCCCAGCCATTCGACGTCACCACGGCGCCTTGTGCCAGGCTAGGTGCACTTTGAGGCCACGTGAAGTGTCGAAGGCTCGCTGGCAGCAGGTCACGGGACGGGCCCAGGTGGCACGGGTTCACTCCACTCCTCACTCGCGTGTACACTTACACAACCTACAGGAGTATAAGACGCACCCGATAATTCAGGATAAAAAAGGTGCGTCTTATTGCAACGATCGAGAGAATACGGTAATCTGTGTAAGTGCTATACCGACGCTGGGTTTGACAGCCGGGCTGTTACTCGAGCGCGCACTCACACTCATTAATTTTCCATTACATTCCGAACCCGTGTAACACCACCGCCCTCCTATTGTATATGATGAGGGCGTAATAGCGATGTTGAAATATATTTAATTGCCTTTTATATCCTTTGTCTCCCTTAAAAGCGTTTCCTTCACGTGCCCGAGCTGCCCGCAACAGCGCCGTCGTTCAAATGAACCGCGCGACGGCGCACGGAAATACGGGGCTCTGCCATGGGAATGTGGAATTTCCAACCCACGGATGGATGTATGGATGGATGAATGAATCGGGGGGGGAGACAACGTTGGGATGACTAACGCTACCCATCTGCGAGGGTGGAGCGGTGGCGCATTGGTTAGCGCACCGAGCTACACGACACACGGCGACCCTGAGTTCGATTCCCGACCATGGCCAACATCAGCGGCGAATGATATCCCAACCCTCGCCACTGGTGAAGTATGGTCAAGCGATCCCCCACGTGGGGAGACCATCCAGCAGTGGATTGACAAAGGACTGTGAATGAGTATTATGGGTCGTCGTAATACAGTAAATACAACGTTAATTTGCATATCAATGCATATTGGATCACATTATTAATTGCCATTGCTTCCAATTATTCGCTAATGAACCATTAATATCTGCTTGGCGTGCGTATAATTATTAGGCGATGATTGTTCATGCAAGCGCCATTCGCGAGCACCTATTAAGGTGCTGCTGCGCGTACATTGTACACTCGTACCGTGGGATACACGTGCGACAATTCGTAGCGCCACACGAGCACGTACACGTATAAGACAAAGATCCCCCGTGTAGCCTTAACAGACTGTTGGGACAAGTGCTGTCAGTAGCGAGCAGCACCAATGAAGGCCGGCGCGGAACACGGGGGGATGGATTGGGCATCACCACGCCCGGCCGCATTTGTCTCCTTTGTTGCGATGTTTCCACCAGGTACTCATTTGAGGCTGAGTCGATCTAGGGGATGCCTCAGAACCGATTCAGATGATCGTCACCGGTGTTGGCCGTGAGCGGTCATCGAACTCGGTTCGCCGGGGTTAGTTGCGCAATGCGCTAACAACTTCGCCACCGCTCACCCCTTCCAGCACACACGTGTACACACATGCACACACGTGTACACACATGCACACACGTGTACACACATGCACACACGTGTACACACATGCACACACGTGTACACACATGCACACACGTGTACACACATGCACACACGTGTACACACATGCACACACGTGTACACACATGCACACACGTGTACACACATGCACACACGTGTACACACATGTACACACGTGCACTTGAATATAGGCAGACACAAAGCAGTGATTATTCGTGAGCCACTTGACGGGGCCGTACCTGCAGACCGCTGTGTTTAGTATTTTTAATTACCCGATGATGTACGCGCGCGTATTTATGTAGGTATCTTGTATTTAAGTGTGCGTGTGTATATATATATACACGAGTATGCGGGTGTGTATGTGCTACAGGGGATCTAATGTGTGTGTGTGTGTGCGCATGGGTGTGTTACTGGCCACCCACCCCCCACGTGTGCACTTAATCTGTACTCGCTAATAGCGCTTGCACCAAAAGTATGGTACGACTCTACCGGGGGGGTCTGTGTGTGTGTGGGTGTGCCTGGCACAGTAGGGGGCACAGGTGGTGCACCAGCCAGTCATCTCAGTCATCTCAGTCAGTCGACCCGTGGCACCTGGGTCTGCCCCGTGACCTCCTGCCCGCGGGCGTTCGACACTTCACGTGGCCTCAAGGTGCACATGGCCTGGCACAAGCGTCGTGGTGACGTCACCGCCACTTAGTGGCGAATGGCGGTTGTTGTTGTGTCTGCGTTCTTGTGTGTCTCCGTGCGTGTCTTTGTACGAACAAACATACGAATTCATATATGTACGATATATATTACGTGTCAACGTATGTTTTTGTTATGTATATGTGCATGCGTTAGCAATGCATGTACCCTTCACGTGTGTGTATAATGGCACGCATGTGTCTATGCACGTATTTTAAAAAAACGTGCGTATGTGTTAGTTTACGCATGTACGTATCAGTGTACACATGTATCGGTGGGTGATACATATTTGTGTATATATTATCGTGTACGCGTATATCCGCGTACGTTGGTACATATGTATCAACGCGCATGATGTCTGTATTTACGTATGTATGAATATGTGTGCTATGTATTGGCATACGTACGTATGTGTCAGTGTACTATATATTATACATGTATAGTACAAATGTATGCATGTGGTATACATGTGTGTGTGTGTGTGCACAGCATAAAATGAGTACCTGGTGCGGTGTGTAAAACATTGCCACTAGGGAGACAAAGACGGCCGGGCGTGGTGCTGGTCACCCACCCCCACGTGTGCCGTGCCTGCCTTAATAGGTGCTCGCTAACAACACTTGCCCCAACAGTCCGTTAAAGGCTATACGGGGGATCTGTATCTGTGGTTCTGTACGCACACGTGTGTACTTACATTGCCACGTAATTTTGCAATTTAGTTCAATTCCAATCTAGCAACACATTTATATAAATAAACAAACGCCCAACGCTCGCGTTATAGACAAGTGCATTAGGATTCACTCATTCGGTCACTTGTATTCAGATATGTATTATTATTCTAATTTGCAAATTATTATTATTACTACTTGAAACTTCGTCGGTTCACGGGGCCGACCAATCTGGCGGGCCCTCTAACGAGCACCCCGGGCCTCGCCAATCGCCGTCCACCCCCTCCCCGCGAGCACCCGGGGCAGCCCGACGCTCTCGCAGGGAGGGGTGGTGGTGGTGGTGGTTGGGGGTGGTGGCCGGGATTCGTAACACAACAGAATGACTTGAAAGTAAAAGAGCTGCGCAAACTCGTGGGGCTCCTGCGAGAGGTGTGCGAGAGGGAGCGAAGCGATCGAGAGAGAGAGACACACACACACACAGGGAGAGAACGAGGGAGAGATACACACACACACAGACAGGCACACGCACACGCACGCGCGCGCGCGCGCACGTTCACCACTGCGCTGGGCGCATCCAAGGAATGAAAAAAACTTTGCGCGGTTCAAGAGAGCGCAACAGAATGTAGCGATCGCAGTCATCATCGATCGATACTGTCGACTTCGTGAGCATTGTTTTCGTCGCCGACTCGACCATCATCAACAACAACAGCATCGTCACCGACATCGTTAGAAGTAGCAGCATCTACATCGTCTTCAACGTAAGTAGTCGTCATCAGCAGCAACACTCATCTGCTACTGTTAACTGCGTAATCATAGATTTGTCTTTTGCCTGTTACCTTCATCATCCTTATCATCAGCAGCAGCTACTGCTGCTTCCTCCTCTTCATCATGAGCACATCATCAGCGGCACCCATCTGCCCCTGTTAACTTTCACCGTGTCCTCTGTAACCTTCATTATCATCAGCAACAGCAGCTACTCCCGACTCTTCATCACGAGTACCACCACCACCACCACCATCATCATATGATACTACTTTATCGTAATCCACACGTTCGTAATCATCATCATCACCATGCGTCGCGTGGCACGTGCATGGTCCTGACGACGCCGTCTATCGCGTCGATGAGACCGGGCGATGTCTCCACCACGTGCGCGCGCGTTGGCGAACGGAGCGCGCGCGTGGCGATGCGCGGAGATAGGCGAGCGCAGAGTGCGGGATTTTCTATCGATTAATCTCGCTCGTAAACAGTTGCCTGGAGATTACAGCGTTCGTGTACTGTGTATATATATTTTACTCGCGGTGAGTTCACGTTTCGTTTTAAGTCGTTGTGTGTGGTTTGTTTTGTCTGTATGTTGAACTCCTTTCGCACCGTACGTAGCCAACCGTGCTAATCGGAGTTGGGGGGAGGGGGGGGGTTGACAACAAACCAACACAAAAAGCAGTTCTAAAGAAATGAGTATTCAATCGAGATGACTTAAAAGTGCATTGCTCCGATGGCTTCCTCATATCGAAAGGAAGATCGTTCCAGACGGCCGCAGAACGAACTATTTTAAGGGAAACAAATGATGTGGTGCTGATGTTGCGTTGGGTACTGCCAACTGCGCGACTGTGCACAAGTAGAGTCGAAAAAAAAATAACCCAACACATCTGTCAGTCACATATAATGGGGCGACGGTTCGGGCAATAACCCTTATTCATAGAACGAACTCTTTTCAAGGGCTTAGAACAGAGTACTCCGGTAAGTTGCAGTTGTAAGAAAATGTTAAGACAGCTGATCAAGCTGGGATTTTTTAAATTAATAATTACGTTCATAATCATCACGTGTTAATTATGTACGTGTGTGTGTGTGTTTAACTATAGATGTACAATTACGGTCTAGACCAGACCTTTGGACGTCTATAGCGAGTACGTGGAACGTGCACGGTGAACGTCACCACCACAGCACGTCGCTAATTCGCTCAGCATCAGGGTCCCCGATACACACGAGGCCACGTGTTCGTTTGCGGCAGTAAACAAAGATTTGTATTATAAAAGACACAATGTAAAACAGAAACGAATTATCACTCACATAGCAGAGTCGAACTTAGACGGTTAGAACTACGTAGGGGTGGGGGTTGTGACAGAGGAGTCAAGCTCGCAGTCCCACATTTGTCGCGTGGGTTTCATTCACTCGGTTGGTTTACCGCGTGAATGTTTGACACATGCGGGGAGTACAACTTAGATTTGAGTTGTCTGCAGTAGGGAGCGCTAGGAAGTGAAACTTACGCGTTCAACTTGCAGCGTTAATATGTTTAACTAAGGAAAAGCATGGAGTAGTGTATAGGATAACTCTCACACGGTCGATCGTTGAACAAGTGCTGTTGGCGAGCACCCATTCAGGTCATTCATACACACACACATACACAGGGGCACAAATCAATTCCATACACGTACAGGCATATTAAAGCTTACATGAACATAGTTTTATTTTACGTAGATACACACATACAGACTACTCTTGACACAAACACACACAAAGACAAAGATCCCCCGTACAGCCTGAACAGACTGTTGGGGCAAGTCCTCTTAGCAAGCACCTACACACACTTAAAAACAAAGATAAAGATCCACCGTATAGCCTTAACAGACTATAGGGACAAGTGCTGTTAGCGAGCGCACTCACACACGCACAGAGACATCAACCCCGCAACTCGCCACTCGAGACAGACCCCCCCACTCGCAGCCGGTGCCACGTGAGAGCAACGGGAACGTCTCCCGCCAGTCACCCGCACGGCGTATCTCTACCACCCCCGTAGGTGCTGGACCATGGACGGCCGGCCTGACCTACAAACTCCGGTGTCGGCCGCCGCCGCAGCAGCCGCTGCCGCCGCTGCCGGGCTGCCTTTGTCTCTCCTGAGCCGAGGCCCGCCGCACAGCCTCCTGCTGAGAGCCGCTGACAAGTACCAGCGCACGCCAAAGTGCGCGCGATGCCGCAACCACGGCGTCGTGTCGGCCCTGAAGGGCCACAAGCGCTACTGCCGCTGGAGGGACTGCCTCTGCGCGAAGTGCACCCTCATCGCAGAGCGGCAGCGCGTGATGGCCGCGCAGGTGGCCCTCAGGCGTCAGCAGGCGCAGGAGGAGAGCGAGGTGCGAGAGTTGCAGCTCTTCTACGGGCCCGCCGAGGGGCTGGCCATAGCGGCCGCGAACGGCATTCTGGCACCGAGGCCCGCGTACGAGCTGTTCGGGCAGCAGCAGCAGCAGCAACAGCAGCAGCAGCAGCAGCAGGATGGAGGGGTGTTGGAGCCAGGTGAGTGTGTGCGGAGAGTTCAGGGATCTGTGTTTCAGTTCCGCTTTGGAGTCAGAGGCATTGCCGGCATAAGGCACTACAACGAGAGTGCACATCGCGCCTGTCTGTGACAACGCCGTACGTTTTGTATTTAGATGTATAACATCGTACACGATAATCCTAGAAGCATATTTTATGTTTGTTGAACTTCTTTCGCACCCTACGTAGCCAACTGCGCTACGGGGTGGGGGGGGGGGACAGCAAACTAAACACGCCAATTCACGATGGGTGTGACGCACCAACAGTAATCGGAGAGTTCCAGAGCAACGTTGCGAACTCTAACGCGATGCCATCGCTCTTATGAAGTTGGTCAGTCAGTTCGCGAGCCTCTCTCTGTGTCACTGGGAGTTGGGATGGTGGTACAACGACTGTCAAGAAGACGACACAACGCGAATGAAACTTCAACAAAGAGTCGACCTCGCTATTGGCTGCAGGGGAAAAAAAAATCTTGATTTGAAGCTTTCGTGACTGCAGGAAATCCACACTCCTTGGTTCTTTCGGTAAAATTCACGTAGGTAGAAAAATAAAACAAAATAAAAATAATAATACTTTATCACGACGTTGCGATGGCAACACGAGCGGTCGTCCTCGGGCGGAAAAAAATAATCCTGCAGTGGAACTGCTGAACCGAAACGTCGTGATATATATTTTTTTTTAATTTTGTTTAATTTTTCAACCTACGTGACTTTACCGAAATAACCAAAGGGAGTTGCCCTACAGCGACAATATCCCAAACACCTGGAGAGACACGAATTCGGAACCGCAATGCAATGCAAAACAAACGATTCCTTTGAAAATACGCAAGCCACGTTTGTGCCCTAAAGAGCGGCGCTTACGTGCTGCCGATGAAAGGCTCCCCCCGCTCGGCATCAGGCGAAGAAAGCCTTCCCCGGTGTGAGCGCGAGTTGGATGGGGAACGCCGCGAGTCTCGCATCGCCCCAAGGGGTCTTCGTGATGCTTCCCCGAACAACGTGGGTTACGTATTGTGAGGGCGCTTTAGAGTTCGTCTGGGATCGATTGGTAGCTCGGTGGTTTCGGCTACCTCCTTGTTTGATGAGTTCAATTTCAGGTCACGGCTAACATCAGTGGCGAGTGATATGTGAACTGGAGCTGCATTCACCCCCACCCCACCCCCACATCACCACTGCCCCCCACCAAACACAACCTTGTGACGAACGTGGTGAAGTATAGTCAAACAACCCCTCCTGCCCATGACCGACACGGCGTAGAAGAGGAATGAATCCAGCGGTGGATTGAGATTTTCTTTATACATATACAGGGACGTGATGATGTACGACTAAAAATGACTAAACGCATTCGTCAATGACACTGCGACCCGAAACCAAATGTTTAAATAGACGACGTTTTGGGCAATGGCCCTTCTACGAAGCAGAAACCACAGCGATGTGCCCGTGACACCGTGGCACGTGCCGCCTCTTGTGGCTGCCACTCCTTGGTTTGTCTCCACGACCGAGCGTGACACCTCTCTGGCCACGCTGTCCCAGCCCAAGCCCCCGCTCGCTTGACCAGTTTTAATAACACACCTAACCTGCTGGGTATGTTCTCGAATCCACGCGCTCTTCTTTATGTCTCTCAATGTAGTTCCAAGTGCGCATAAACATCATACGGTTTGATCCCCCCCCCCCCCCTTCCACGCTCTCTTTGCATTTTATCTCCGTAAAATTATAAAGTTTTTAAAACATCCTGGGGAAAGTGTGAGTGTAGTGCTGGGATACAGAGTGGAATTCGACGTGATGAGATAATATATATTTATATACAGTGATAAGATGTCTCACATAGAGGGCGTTGTGGTGGGAAATCCAGGTCGCATCGCTTCACGTTTTAACCCGTGCAAAACAACGCACAGATTGAAAACTTTCGCAATTTGCCACACGATTGCGAGGTTGCTTCTCGTGAGCAAGTTGCTCCCCCAAATCACTCGTGCCCTGCTGTTGCTTTGCGTCTCTCACGCCATAAGTGGGATGAGACGGTAGGGCTAGTTCATTGTCATCACAATATATGTGATTAAATTTAATTGAGATAACATGCGATAGACAGTATTCATCTTTCGTTCGGGAAGAGCCTTTGATTGACAAAAATATGGGACTCTGAATCGAGAGTTTACATATGCCAACCGTATCTATAGGTGTAATGGCATGACGATGTTATTTATTTCAATGTATAATAATAAAAGATAAGATTGATATGGGATGAGATGGGATAGATAATATTGTATGGAAGCGAGATGGGTTTAGGCCAGATGGGATGTGACAGATGACATGGTGTTGATGGGATGAGAACAGATGGAGTCACGTGCGATGATGCTGATGGAGACTGATGACGATGGGATAATTGAGATGAAGTGATGATGGAATACGTTGGGATGATGTACGGTACAATCAAATGAGATGCAATGTAAAGAGGTGAGATGACTGAGAGTGATGACGGTGATGATGGATAGAATTTGATGCCATAGCGTGAGATGATGATGATGATGACGGCGATGGTGATTACTGATTGAGATGGTATCGATGGAGTGACGGTGAGATGAGATGGAGCAAAATAAGATGTGATTGGATGGATAATGATGGACATAAGATGATGATGGGATGAGACGGGGATGGGAAGTGATGGAGATGAAGATGATGGGATGAGACGGGGATGGGAGGTGATGGAGATGCGATGATGATGATGATGGGATGAGACGGGGATGGGAGATGATGGGAACGCGTGTAATCCCACCTGGCTCTCGCGTTCTCGTGACCTCGGAACGGCGCGAACCGACACGCGGCTCGCCCGACCCACGGAGAGGCACGGCATCGCCAGATATTCCATCACAAAAACCGCTTGGCACCGACGCGCACAAACGTGACTCGACATGCAACAACATGCATTGTTACGCGCTAACATGGACTGCCATGACAGCGGCGGCGCAGTGGTTAGCGCCCTGCGCTACGATCCTAGGAACCCCCCCCTCCCCCCGGCGAACGCGGGGTTCGACTCCCGCTCACGGTCAACGTCGGTGACGAATATCTGAATCGTTCCTGGGCTTCCCCTAGGTCGACTCAGCCTTACAATTAACACCTGGTGCGGTGTGTATATATATGTAAAAAAATATCCACACTGGGGAGACAAAGGCGACCGGGCGTGGTGGTGCTGGCCACCCACCCCCTCGTGTGCCGTGCCGGCCTTCATAGGCGCTGTTAGCAAATAGCACTAGCCCTAACAGTCCGGTAAGGCTACACGGGGGATCTTTGTCGTTGTGGTCTCCGATGAACAATCAATTAAAAAGCACACAAATGTGATTAATTTAAAGTCCTCTGTCAATCCACTGCTGGATGAAAACTTTCCCTGGACGGAATCTGATGTGCTGTGGATTCGTGCGTCGATGCAGTCCAATGCCATATGAAGCGTGTAGCTATTTGTTTATGTTTTTGCCTGTTTAGTATTTGTGTATCTGTGTACGTATTTGTTATTTGTGTGCTAAATTTGTGTAATCACATTTCTATATGTATATACATAAAATGCGTATACTAAGCGACACGCAGTATAATTATATTTACGTGCTGTTTGTGACTTTGTGTTTTTGTTACATTATTTATGTATGGTCGATGTGTTGCTGCAACCAATTTCCTAATTTAGTACAGTACATGCAGGTAAGACATTTATTATAATTATTATAATCACATAAAATGCTATGTATTTACGCGTGCATGTACGTATGGTGTGTGGTGGTTAACGGTAGGGTAGTGGTTAGTGGTTAGCGATAGGGTAGTGGTGTGAGTAATGTTAATACTCGTTTAAATGGGTCCTTTCGAAACATATACGTTGTATTATTCCAGTAATAATTACTAAAGTCATTGTACAGCTTTAAGCACTTACAGACACCCCACTAAAATAATACTGAAGCAATTATATATTTTTTTGGTTAAACCACATTTTTATTCCAAAGTCTCTTACACGTCTCCCCAACGACGTCAGTAAACTTTGTTCAATCTTCAATCCCTCTCCTCTGTAAGATACGGAGCCGTTGCGAACACGTCGTTCAATCAGCCGTTGAACAGAAAGTCAGACTGATCAGACATCAGCGGGGTATCTGTAAATGGATAACCATGTCCACATGTGTCTACTTATGCGTGCATGCATGTTACTGGGGGTTCGCTCCACTGCGTTTAGACTCCAGCCGACCCGAGTTCGATAACGACGATTTTTTGTAACGTTCCTGGACCTCGCCTAGGTCGACTCAGCCTTAAATGAGTATGGTGTGGATAATGCATTGGCACTGGGAAGACAAAGGCGGCCTTGAGTGGCGCTGGTAACACCACCACCTCGTACGCCGTTACGGCCTTCATATATATGTGTGCTTGCTAACAGCACTTGCCACAACAGTTATTTTAAAAGCTATATTTGACTGTATATATTTATTTATTATGGTATAATAACTCGTTTGCATAGTATAGTGTAGCACGTTCAAGCCAGACATTTTAGAATGATTAAAGGCCATATGTATGAAGGCATATTTTTCTATGTACGTATTGTATATTTACATGTGTGTGCGATGCATTCACCCGTACTAAATATAATAAAATGCAGTTGAGACATTATAACCACATAACTCATTATGTATATATCCAGCAGTGAATCGAAAATGTACAAGATAATGATTATGTATATATAGAATGTTTAAATACATGTAATTCTGACATGCATGTTATGTGAGACTAATCTCTGTGTATACTATGTATGTATGTTTTCTCACACGTTTCAGTCGATTAAGTCCAAGTGATGTTCTGCGCAAATGAGCATTGAGGCTGTGGTGCTCATGTCCCGTTTACAGCCCTGAGCCATTGGTGGAAATTCCTCATTCCTATGGCGGGGGCAAGTCTATCCATAGGACAGCCACTGTTGACTTCCCTACAAAGTGGTACATATTTTATCGACCCCCACCCCCCCCCCCCCGAGCGAAAAATAACATGCGTGTTATAATGATATCACGTATGTATACACTGTTTATGCATGTATTTGTGTGTGTGTGTGTGTGCATATATATGAATTTTATGTATTTACTCCGATAGAGTATAATCTAGTGGATTATGTAATATAGTTTGTATTTATATATAGGGATTTTTAATGTAAGTATTAACGTACTGTGTTTGAATCAATACAGATGATAATGTATGTCCGTGAATGTTATATAATGAGCAGACTCAATATGAATACTGTAATGATAATATTATGAATAAGATGATTATCATATATTTTAATATTGTGATTTAAATTATAGTTGATTGTATTCCTTATTATTTTAGACTATTGATTATTGTGGTACTTTGCACTATATATGTTCCTTTTGCTTGCATACATTAATTCATAAACGTGCTTTATATGTATCACGTCAATAGATATTTTGGGCATAAATACGTGAGTATCATTCAAATGTTTTATTATTATTTGTGTGTTACGCACTACTTCAAATAAGTAACATCGAATTAATATAATTATC